TGGCAGTAGCGGGGGGCGCGCGATAGCGCGCGGGTGTAGTGCAAGCGCGGACGTCCTAGGCGGGGTAGGATTAGGCGACACACGCGAGGGGACGCACGCGCAGGGTGACGTCGACACACGCGAGGTACAATGCAGGAACGAGGCGGCATGCCTAATCCTCGTAGGAATAGGCAAGGCGCGAATACTAATCCTCGCAGGAATAGGAATAGCAGTTAAGTGCCGGAATGCGCGTGGGAGATTGGTGACGGAAGTAATCCTCGGAAGATCAGGAAACGTAATCGAGAGCCTATTCCTAGTAGGAATAGGAATAGTGGATATGGGCCCGAGGCATAATCCTACAAGGAATAGGAGTGGCGCAGCAGGCACGAGAGACCTAGTCACCAAAGGACTAGGCGAGCATGGCAGCAACGCGCGAGACGTGGCGCACGGATGGGCGACATGCCTATGCGCGGTAGGCATAGGCGAAGGACGCGGGCGGCGCGCGCATAGCGCACGGGAAGTGAGGCGGCCGAAGGGTTGGGGCGCAAGACTTGAGCATTCTAGAAGTACTTGGAGTGCAAGGCAAGGAATTGGATAGCAAGTCAAGATATTAGGAGATCTACTAGATTAAGGAATTTATGGTAGTAGGATATTTACTAGCCTTAGGATTTAATATTTAATTGTTTTAATAGTTTCCTAGTAAAGATTAGCATTAGAGATAGTTGGTATCTATAAATACCCCATGTACCTCATCATATTTACAAGTTGAATTGAGTATTGAATTGGTGAGCCAATTTTGAGGGGGAACTTTATGTTCTTAACGTGTGATAAAGAAGGCCATTAGTGCGTCTTTACATGCAGTGTCGGAGAGAAGGCCAATAGTGCGTCTTGAAGTCACGGTGTCTAGGAGAAGGCCGCAGTGCGTCTGCTAGATACATCTATCGGGGATAAACGAAGGCCTCAGTGCGTCGTTTATTCGCAAACCAGTATAGACAAAAGATCGATCCGTCATCACGCTGTGCGGGCGCTGGCGTGCGCTGGCAGCAGTGCACAGGGCCCGGCAGACAGGTAGGATTTCACATAGGACCGACCGTTTTCAAAATTTACTCGACCGATTTAAATAAAATTTTAACACAACAAAATAGACCCAGAAAGGCATATAATCACAAGGTTTTTAGATCCAATACTTCAGTTTAACACAATCAACTAATTTTTACAAAAAGACGATTAAAATCTGAACTTTCTAGTTCACCGAGCAATCCTTTGAATTTTTCAGCGAAATTTGGACACAACATACATTTCATCAAAGCACTGACCCTCACTAAAATTCACAGTAAAATACCAAGTACTCGATTTTTAATGATTTTTCCAAGTTTCAGGTCAGATTTTCAAATCGGCAATTAACATAGCTACAGACCTTATTTTAACTTGAAATTTTTACACGACCTATAACATCATTAGAGGGTTATACAGTTCAAATTTCGCAGCAATCGTACGAGTATACGAATTTAGATGAGTTTTCGAAGTTTCAGCAACACTACACGATTCAAAAATGCACAACAATTAAATTAATCAATAAATTCGTCTAAAGCCTTCATCATAAGGCCAAAGACTTCAAGTGTTCCATAGATCCACAGCAATTTAACACGATTTACCACAAAATCACGATCGAATATCAATAATGAACAAATCACGAGTAAAATCAATTATGTATTAAACTTTAACACAAGATCTCCCAACAAGGCATCAATACATAGCATATACATACTAAAATAATAAGAATAAACAGCCTTGTACCGTTCTCGAGATAAATCGCACGAGAGAGGGATCGAAGGGCCGAGGGAGATCGCGGACGCGCGGGGAAACGGACTTGCGGGCGCTGGCGGCTTCGCGAGATGCCGGGACGTCTCGTGCGCGTCTGCTGGGCACCGGGTGGCGACAGGGGGGGCGTCAACTGAGGCCTGGGGTGCTCGCGAGCGTGACGGGGCTGGCCTGCGGGACGGGCGACGGCAGGGGAAGGGCTCGCGACGAACGGAAAGGCCGAGGGAGGGAGAGAGCGAGAGAGATCGGCGAGGGAGAGAGTGAGGGAGAGAAAAGGCTGCGGTAAAAAGATGAGAGGGGAGGGATGATCTCTCCTACATATAAGCTTCCTATAGGGTTGAAAGAGATCCCTTAAATCAAGCCACTTGCCAAAATAATAGTATAAGGAAGAAGGAAGTCTTCACAATTAAGCAACTTCCCAAAATAACACTAGGAAGGAAGGGGGAAGAGGGGCGCCGCCCAGGGCTTGGGCGCGGCTCCGGGCGCGCGGCTCGCGGGCTCGAACAAGTGCTCGGTTTGACGAAAATCAAATAAAATAATAATACATAAAATATTTAAAAATAATATTTAATATTTAGAATACATTACCACAAATGATATTTATATAATATTCACAATTAGGCACATAATTTCATTTAAGCACTTAGAAAATTTAACAAATAATAAGAATAACAAAATAATAATAATAACAATAATCCAAATTATTCATAAACGAACGGGGCGTCACAATAACGATATGGGCCAAGCCCAACTTGAGCCCAAAGAAGTACACTCCCCCTATAAAAGAAGGCTAAGGTATCACATTTTTTCATTCTCTATTCATTTCATTACTACTCTCTCTCTCTCTCTCTCTCTCTCTCTCTCTCTCTCTCTCTTGATCGAGCACTATCTTCGGCATGGGAGGACCGACGCCGAGGCCACCCTCAGCGTTGGGTTCTTGCAGGTACGGAGGTCAAGGAGCCCGGGTGAAATCTATTTCACCTCATTGGAACCGTCTATGGGACCCGTTCAAGAAGCCAAAATGGAGTTCCAACCGAAAAAATACGAAAACCTCATTCTTCTCCACCGGCCGCCGCCACAGCCGCCGCCACCTCCGCCGCCGGCCGCCAAAAAATGTGTTCCAGTCAGAAAATAGTTTACATCATCGGATAGATCTCTTCAAGGTGATTCTACCCATAAAATTTCATGCAAAAATTCATCCGGGAAGACCGTCAATGGTCAAAGTTTCTAGATCTAGCAAAAATTCGGTCAAAATCGGACATTCAAATACATTTTCCCGACGGTTCGAAAGGGTTATGGAAAATCCAACGGTACCACCCGGCATCCTCTCAATGAGACGAATCTCCATCTACTGATCTTCGCCGAAAACCGCCACCTCCGCCGCCGGCCTGTTAGGTTCTGTTAGGAATGTGAAACAACATGCACAGTATTGAACTTTATCGAAATAAATCCTAATGCAGCGGAATCTATAGTTAGGATATGGACATTTACCTTTTAAAATTTTTGCCGACTCTGAGACGATGTAGAGTACCGTTGGTGAAGTTCGTCTGAACACCACAACCTAATAGGCAGATAGGTTTGGCCTTTAGTTGATTCTAATCAACTCGTCAAACGGATCACGGACGGACGGTGGCTAGGTCTCGGTCGTCGGGTGGCAGCGGGCGATCGTGCGCGTCGGGCGCAGACAGCGAGCAAGTGCGCAGACGTCGTGCGTGTCGGGGACAGCGAGCGTGTGCGCGGGCACTGGCAGCGTGCGTGTGTTGGTCGCTGGCGTGATGCGCGGGTCGCTGGCAGGAGACGGACAGGGCGTGCGCGTCGCGGGGCAGCACTCCTACGCGGACGCGGACTAGGCGAACGCGTCTGGGAACACGCGTGCGTGCGGTACGCGAATCCTGGGCGTGCGCGGAATGGCAAGCGCATCGCGGACTGGGCCTGGGACTTCGCGATCGGCGATGGCGAGCAGCAGGTGCGAACGGGCGATGCGCG